CTGGGGGGCTGCTGCAGGACAAACGTGTCCCAGTGGCTGGGGGGGGGGGGGGGGGGGGGGAGAAAGGGAAATGGGGCCACCCACGAGAGCTGGGAATTGGCTCGCTGAGCATTTTCCAGCATTTTTTCCCAGTGTGGAGCGTCTCCCCGGAGCGGAGCTTGGCTGCGTTTCCACAGGAGCGTGGGGGGCTCAGGGGGCCGTAGCCTCATCCCACCCCATTCTGTGACCAGTGCCAGCAACAACCGCCCATGCCAGGGGGTCCCTGCCACCCCCACCTTGCCCCACGGTGACAGAGGGGACCCCGGCACGAGCAGGACTGGGGGGGGACCCAGGAAGCAGCGGGCTGAGAAGAAACCCAAGGGGAAACCGCCCCCCAGCACCCTTCTGCTCAGCACCCCGGGGGCTGGGGACCACCAGTGGCCAGGATGGGGATGGCCAGGGGTGGTGCGGTGTCCACGGGGTGCCCAGGTGTCCCGAAGGTGGCTGGGGTGTCCCAGAGGTGGCTGCAGTGTCCCTGCGGTGACCACGATGTCCCAGAGATGGCCACAGCGTTGTAGGGTCACCCACAGTGTCCCAGGGGTGGCTGCAGTGTCCCTGGGGTGACCGTGCTGTCCTAGGAACAGCCTTGGTGGCCCAGGGGGGGCCTTGGTGGCCCAGGTCTGACAGTGGTGTCATAGGGGTGTCTGTGGTGGCCCAAGGATGGCCATGGTGGCCCAGGGGTGTATGTGGTAGCCCAGGGGTGGCCATGGTGGCCCAGGTCTGTCAGTGGTGTCCCAGGGATGGCAGTGGTGTCACAAGGGTGTCTGTGGTGTCTCTGGGGTGGCCATGGTGGCCCAGGGATGGCAGTGGTGTCACAGGGGTGTCTGTGGTGTCTCTGGGGTGGCCATGGTGTCCCAGGGATGGCTGCGATGTCCGGGGGGGTGACCGTGGTGTCCCAGGGGTGGCTGTGGTACCCAAAACCATCCAGAACTCCAAGGGCTGGATGTGGCCTCCCAGGGGTGTCTGCGTTGTCCCGACAGCAGCCACGATGCCCGAGGGATGGCTGTGACGTCCCAGGGTGGCCATGGGACACGGGGCAGGGAGGAACGGGAAAGCCTGGAAACCAGGACACCCCCCCAGCCCCCCCCCCCCCCCCCCCCCCAGCCCTGCGGCAGCAGCGTCAGCATTTTGGGGCTGAGCCAGGCCCACGGTCAGGCCTCGAATGGCACCCCGCCCCTGCGTGGCACCCAGACCGTGTCCCCCGTCCCTGCCAGCCCAGTGTCACCCCTGGGGTGCTCGGCCCCCACCTCGGCCGCGGCACCGACACCAGTGCGGTACCTGCAGCAGCTGAGTGAGGGGGCAGCATCCCTGGGGGGGGCCATAGAGACCCTCAAACCCTGGACTCTGGGCTGGCGCAGGGTGGTGCCCCCCCTTACCCCGCACGGGGACCCTCACCCTGCACCCCACCCCGTGACTCAGGGCCCAGAAATCCGACCCTGGGTGCTTGGCCACCCATGTGCCCTGTCCCGTGCCACGGGGACCCCCCCTCCGCCCCCCAGCCAGGGCTCCTCCCAACTCACCCCCCATCCTTGCACGTGGATGGGATAAAGCCGGTGATGGGGGTCCCCTGGGGCCCAAGGGGTGACCCCCCCATACACACAGCATGGAGCAAAGGGTGGGGGTCAGGGCTCTGCCCCGGCCACTTTGGGGGCTGCTGTGGGGTGGGTGACCCCGTGCCCCATAGTGGCCCTGCCCACGCACCCCGGGGCTGGCCCAGGAGGGGCACCGTGAGGGTCTGCTGTGTCCCCCCACCCCACGGCCCCGGGGACAGCCCTGGGCTGAGGGTCAGCCCCAAGGCCAGGCCAGAGGCCACCAGCAGCACGCCCCGGTCGGGTGCTGACACCTGCGGGTGAGGGACCGTCCCTACATGTCACCCTGCCCTGCGTGTCACCCCGCCCTGAGTGTCCTTCCACGTCATTGTGTCCCTTCATGTCACCACACCCCCGTGTCACCGTGTCCCTACAGGTCACCCCATTCTAACACGTCACGCTGCCGCTACCCGTCGCCCCCTCTGACATGTCACCCTGTCCCTCTGTCACTTTGCTCTCACCTCGTGCCCTGCCTAAATATCACCCCCCCCCCCCCCCTTCCTACGCATCCCCACTACCCATCACCGCAGCCTGGTCCTGCGGGGGATTTGGGGCAGGGGCCCCGTGGCCGAGGGCTGCCGGGGGAGCAGGGCTATGGCATCCTTGAACCCGTCCTTGGGGACTGTGCTGGCTCCACGGGGTGGGGGGGTTGCTGACCCCCACCCAACGGTCGTGCCCACGGCGTGGGGCACCTGCAGGGCCCCGTGGATGGGCCCTTCCCTGGGAGAGGGGGGGTGGCTGCGGTGCCCTGGCCTCAGCCTCCAGCACTGGGATCCGGGCAGCCCAGGCCCCAGCAGCCCCCTCCACCCCCCCAGCAGCCCTTCCTTCCATCCCCCACCCCCTCCATCCCCCCCAGCATCCCCCCTCCGTTCCCCTCCACCCTCCCCATCATCTCCATCCCCACAGCCTCTATCCTGCCCTGCATTGTCCCTCCCATCCCCCTTCCACCCCCCCCTCCATCGCTGCTGCATCCCCCCATCCTCCCCCCTCCATCCTGCCCTCCACGGAAGCTTCCCTCCCCCACCATCCCCTCTCCATCCCTCCTCCAGTTCCTTCTACCCTCCCCATCATCTTCTCCACGCCCCCCCGTTGCCCCCCCCATCCCACTTCCATCTCCCCCATCCCTGCTGCATCCCACCCCCCCTCCACCCTCCCCTGAATTGTCCCCTCCATCCTCCTCATCCCCCCTTTTCGGGGAGGGGACCGTCCCCCCCTCCACCCCTTGAAAGCTCCTCGCGAAGAGAGAGGGCTTGGATTGCAGCAGGCAGTCCTGCGTATGGCAGCAAATACCCTAATTAATTAATTATGGGATAATCTCTGGTTCTGGGGAATGGGAAGCTGCTGAGACTCGATTAACCACAAGAATGTTTAATCACCCCCTGAAGCCCCCGGCTGCCTCCCCTGTAAGATGCCGGGGATTATCCCCACTGGGCCGCGAGCGAGCCCGGGCAGGGCTGCCGGGGGACGGGGGGTGGGGGGGCAGATATCCCTGTTCTGCCCACGGGGCCCAAGGAAAGAGCTTTGTCCCGGTCGGACTGGTGGGGCTGGGCACCTCCCCTCGCCCTCTCCGGCCTCTCCTGTCCTCCCTCCTGTATCCCTCAAAATTACTCTGTATCCTGCATAAATATCCTGCATCCCACAACCCACATCCTGCATCCCACCTCATGTACCCTGCATCCCAGTCCTGACCCTGGATCCCACATCCTGTGCCCTCCATCCTGCATCCCAGTCCTGCATCCTGCGACCCTCATCCCCGTCCTGCACCCTTCAGCTCCCATGCTGCATCCCAATCCTGCATCCCCCATCCTAATCCTGCATCCTCCAGCCCAGCCCTGCATCCCACATCCTAACTCTGCATCCCAGCCCTGCATCCCACATCCTAACTCTGCATCCCTGCCCTGCATCCCAATCCTTCATCCTGCATCCTTCATCCTGGATCCCAGCCCTGCATCCCACATCCTAATTCTGCATCCCACATCCTGCATCCCTCATCCCAGCCCTGCATCCCGCATCCCCAGCCTGAATCCTTCATTCCCCGTCCTGCATCTCTGCATCCTGCATCCCCCAGCCCAGCCCTGCATCCCGCATCCTAATTCTGCATCCCACATCCTGCATCCTGCATCCCATCCCTGCATCCCCAGCCTGAATCGTTCATTCCCCATCCTGCATCTCTGCATCCTGCATCCCCCAGCCCAGCCCAGCCCTGCATCCCGCATCCTAATTCTGCATCCCAGCCCTGCATCCCTGCATCCTGCATCCCCCAGCCCAGCCCTGCATCCCGCATCCTAATTCTGCATCCCACATCCTGCATCCTGCATCCCATCCCTGCATCCCCAGCATGAATCCTTCATTCCTCATCCTGCATCCCTGCATCCTGCATCCCCCAGCCCAGCCCTGCATCCCGCATCCTAATTCTGCATCCCACATCCTGCATCCTGCATCCCAGCCCTGCATCCCCACCCTGAATCCTTCATTCCCCATCCTGCATCCCTGCATCCTGCATCCCCCAGCCCAGCCCAGCCCTGCATCCCACATCCTGCATCCCCCATCCCAGCCCTGCATCTCTGCATCCTGCATCCCCCAGCCCAGCCCTGCATCCCTGCATCCTGCATCCCCCATCCCAGCCCTGCATCTCTGCATCCTGCATCCCCCAGCCCAGCCCTGCATCCCTGCATCCTGCATCCCCCAGCCCAGCCCTGCGTCTCTGCATCCTGCATCCCCCAGCCCAGCCCTGCATCCCCAGCCTGAATCCTTCATTCCCCATCCTGCATCCCTGCATCCTGCATCCCCCATCCCAGCCCTGCATCTCTGCATCCTGCATCCCCCAGCCCAGCCCTGCATCCCTGCATCCTGCATCCCCCAGCCCAGCCCTGCATCCCCAGCCTGAATCCTTCATTCCCCATCCTGCATCCCTGCATCCTGCATCCCCCAGCCCAGCCCTGCATCCCGCATCCCGCATCCCGCCCCCCGTCCCCGCCCCTCCCCACCCCCCCCCCCCGCCACTCCAGCTCCGCACAAAGGCCGGACTACAGCTCCCGGCGTGCCCGGGCAGGGGGCGGGTGGGGGGGGTGGAGGGATGACGGGGGGCGGGCAGCCCCCGCCCGCCCGGGGCCCTGCCCGCTCCCTGCCCGCCGCTGCCTGCGGGCCGGCAGCGAATCAGCCGCTCCGCCCGCCCCCCCCCCCCCGCCCCCCCCCCGCCCCCCCCGCCCCTCCCGGCCGGGCCGCAGCGGCCGCGCTGCCATGAGCCAGCGCCCGGCGGGGCCGCCCCGCCGCCGCCGCCCCCCCCCGGCCCCCCGCCCGCAGCCCCCGGCCCCGGCCCGGCGGCGGCTGCGGGGGCGGCGCGGCTGAGCCGCTTCCCCCCCCCCCCCCCGCCGCCCATCCCCGGCTGCTCCCCGGTGCGGCCCCGCCCGCCGCCGCCGCCGCCATGGCCGGCAGGTCCCGCAGCGGCGGCGAGGCGCTGCGGGTGGTGGCCCGGTGCCGGCCCATGAGCAGGAGGGAGGAGGCGGCCGGGTGCGAGCGGGTCCTGGAGCTCGACGTGAAGCTGGGCCAGGTGAGCATCCGCAACCCCCGCGCCGCCCCCGGCGAGCCCCCCAAGACCTTCACCTTCGACGCCGTCTACGACGCCAGCTCCAGGCAGGCGGACCTCTACGACGAGACGGTGCGGCCGCTGATCGACGCCGTGCTGCAGGGCTTCAACGGCACCGTCTTCGCCTACGGCCAGACCGGCACCGGCAAGACCTACACCATGCAGGGCGCCTGGGCGGAGCCGGAGAAGCGGGGCATCATCCCCATCTCCTTCGAGCACATCTTCACCCACATCTCCCGCTCGCAGAACCAGCAGTACCTGGTGAGGGCCTCGTACCTGGAGATCTACCAGGAGGAGATCAGGGACCTCCTCGCCAAGGACCAGAGCAAGAAGCTGGAGCTGAAGGAGAACCCCGAGACCGGGGTCTACATCAAGGACCTCTCCTCCTTCGTGACCAAGAACGTCAAGGAGATCGAGCACGTGATGAACCTGGGGAGCCAGACGCGGTCGGTGGGCAGCACCAACATGAACGAGCGCAGCTCCCGCTCCCACGCCATCTTCCTCATCACCATCGAGTGCAGCGAGACGGGCCCGGACGGCGAGGAGCACATCCGCGTCGGCAAGCTCAACCTGGTGGACCTGGCCGGCAGCGAGCGCCAGAGCAAAATGGGGGCCCACGGGGAGCGCCCCAAGGAAGCGTCCAAGATCAACCTCTCCCTCTCCGCCTTGGGCAACGTCATCTCCGCCCTCGTAGACGGCAAGAGCACCCACATCCCCTACCGGGACTCCAAGCTGACCCGCCTGCTGCAGGACTCCCTCGGGGGCAACGCCAAGACAATCATGGTGGCCACCTTGGGCCCGGCCTCTCACAGCTACGACGAGAGCCTCTCCACCCTCAGGTTCGCCAACAGGGCCAAGAACATCAAGAACAAGCCCCGGGTGAACGAGGACCCCAAGGACACCTTGCTGCGGGAGTTTCAGGAGGAGATCGTCCGGCTGAAAGCCCAGCTGGAGAAACGCGGCATGCTGGGGAAGAAGAGGAGAAGAAGCAGCCGGAGGAAGAAAGCGGTGGATGGAGAAAGCGCCACGGAGAACGAAGGGGAGGACGACCACGAGGACAGCCTGGAGAAGAACATGGAGAATTACTTGAAGGAGCAGAAGGAGAGGCTGGAAGAGGAGAAGGCTGCCATCCAGGATGACCACAGCCTGGTGAGCGAGGAAAAGCAGAAGCTGCTGCAGGAGAAGGAGAAGATGATAGAGGATCTGCGGAAGGAGCAGGAGGCCACGGAGCTGCTGGCCACCAAGTACAAGGTACGTGTCACCACCCGCCGTTGCGAGCGACGCCGGGGGAAGACCCCCTTTGCCTGCAGCCCCTCGCGGGGTGCCTGAGTGGGTGCCAAGCAGGGTGCCCGTGCAAGGTGCCCAGGCCAGGTGGGCGCCCAAGCGGGGTGGCCAAGCAGGGTCCCCAGGGAAAGGTGCCCAAGGGCAGCCCCACGCTCCTGTGTAGTGGTGGCCTGGGATGCCCTCAGAGGGGGGACCTGCGTGGGGACCTCGTGAGGCAGCTCCTGGGGGCGTGGGGTGGGGAGGGCCACGGGGCCGTGGATCGCCGGTGGCACGACGAGTTTCCTGTGCCCGGCTCTTGCCCCCCCCCTCGGCACAACAAAGCAGCTTGCGGCGGGGCGGGGGAGTGATGCTGCAGATTCGTCCCCGGTGGCCCCGGGAACACGCCCGGGGCTGGGGCTGGGGCCACTGGCACTGCCTGTGTCCCTCACCCCCACCCCACAGCTCGTGTCCAGCCCCCCCCGGCTCCCAGGGCTCTGCTGGGGACAGGCAGGGCCCACCCCCACCTCAAATCCCTCCCTGCACCCCACAGCCGGAGCGGGGTGGGTGGGGGCATATTAGTGGCACCCTCCGAGCCACCGGCTTGGGGACGCTCAGGGGATGTGGGGGGGGTCCAGGGCTGCACCACTGCCCCCCAGCCCCCCCCTAACCCCGCTCCCGTCCCTGGCGAGGCTGGGGGGGGGGGGGTCCACAGCGGTGGGGAAGGAGCCCCGGCACCCTGACCCCACCACGTCACGCTCCGACACGGCCCCTCCGTCACCACGGGGGCCCGGGTGCGGTGGCCGGGCTGGAGACCGAGCACGGAGCCCTCTGGGGGGGGGGGACACACACCTGGGATTTCGGGGGGGAGGGGGGTGGGGCGGGGCTGAGCAAGGGGGATGCTCTGGTCCCCTCCTGCCTGGCTGGAGCCCTGTTTGTGCAGCCCCAGGGATGCACGGCCGTGCCCGGGCGGACACCTGCAAGGCACAGGGACCCCCCGGGGGACGTGCCAGTGGGGCAGAGCCGTGGGGACACACACACCAGTCACCGCCTGGCACGAGTGGCGTCCCACGGCGGGTGTCCCAGCAGAGCGGGGTGCTCGGGGCGGAGGTGGGCACCCCGCAGCCAGTGTGTGTGTGTGTGTGTGTGTGTCCCAGTCCCCACGGCGGTGGAGCTCAGGTTGTCACTGGCCGGCGTCCCGCACGGTGTCCCCGGCCGGCACGGCGCAGCGGGGCTGGCTCAGGGCCACGGCGTGTCCTGGAACTGCTGAGTAACGAGGCAGGGCCGGAGGCGGCGAGCTGACGCCGCATCCCTTTGGGTGGCTTTTGGAGCTGCTCCCCCCTCGCCGGGACCCTCCGGGCATGGGGGGTACAGCCCGGACGTTGTGGGGGACACTGGGTGGCTTCCCGGTGCCCTGGGGCAGCTCTGCCACGCAGCGGGGCCGGGCAGGGAGCCGTGAGAAGAGCCCTGGTAACCGGGGAGGGGGGACACAGATGACACGGGGGTGCCCCACGCACGCGCGGGTGACACAGCCAGGTGTGCGCTTTGGCAGCCAGATGTGCCCCTCGGGGTGTCAAGTTGGGGGGGGGGGGGGGGGGGGGGGGAGCCTTGGGAACCCGGCTTGGTGCGAGCCCCGAGGCTGGGGTCAGCGGGCGGGAAGGTGATTATTTGGGTGCTGGAAATGATTTCCGTGTGAGCGGCTCAGCGTGCCACCCGCCCCACGGCCCAGAGGAGATGGGGGGGGGGGGGTCATCTTCGTTAGGGGGAATAAATGCTTTGGAGGGGAGAAAACAGCAGCTCAGACACCCCGTAACCCCGCGGCGAAAAACCCGCCGGGGAGAGGTGGCAGCACCGTGCCCTGGCCGAAAATCACCCCAGCAGCCCCCCCTGCTCCCCCCACTTTGTCCCCCCAGCTTGTGCCGGGGCAGGACGCAGCCCGGCGGGGCACAGGGGATGCTCACCAGGATGGGGTGCAGCTGGGACCGGCCGAAAACTGGGTTTGGAGAAGGGGTGAGGGGCTTATAACGCCCCAGTGCCCCCAGCCCGGCTGCCCTGGGCAGGGGGTGGCGCGGGGGGGGGGGGGGTGGGCTGTATTTGGGGTCACCCCACGGTGACCTGGTGGCTTCCTGACCCGGCCAGCAGCGCTCACCGAAGGCGGTGGGGCCGGGGGGAAGGAGGAATCCCCCGTGTCGGGGCCCAGGGGGGTGCAGCAGGGTCAGGGGGGCCGGACGGGGCACCCGTGGGGGGGATGTGCCCCACAGCACCCAAAGGCTGCGAGGGTCTCACGGGGGGTGGGGGGAGGCAGGAGCTGGTGGGATGGGGGTGGGGTTGTGCCATGGGTGCTGGGGGGGCCGCTTGCACACCCCTAAAATCCCATGCCCACCCCCACAGCAGGCCCGTGTGGGGCCGGGAAGGGCAAAAAAATAGGGGGAAAATAGGGGAAATAACAGAGTATTGCCCCAAATAGCTGCCAGCGTGACTGGGGGTCACTGGTTTGCCTGAACCCCTGCCCAGGGTGGTGCTGGGGGGGGGGCTGGGGGGAGCATGGCCCCCCCCGGGGAGAGCCAATGCCGTGGCACCGGTGAACACGTCAGTGGACACCCCTCGCACACACATGTGCCGCAGGAGGACATGTGTGTGCCCCGCGTGTGGGGGTGAGGCTGGGGGGGGGGCAGGCTGCGTGTGGGGGGGTGCACACGTGTGCGTGCACGGGCATGTGGGGTATGCGTGCAAGCATGTGCGTGGAGGGGGGGGCTGTGCGTTAGCGTGTGCATGCGTGGGGTAAAGGAGAGCGTGTGCGAGCGCAAACGCCCGCGTGTCGCAGCGTGTGTGCACGCGTGTGTGTGTCCGAGTGTGGGTGGGGGTGCGGGGGGGGTGACCGTTCCCAGGCGTGTGCATACACTGGTGTGTGCACGTGTGCTGATGTGTGTGTGTGTGTGTGCGAGCACTGCCGGGTGACAGGGGACCCCCCTTCCCCCGGGGGGAGGTGACAGGGTGGGGTGGGGTGGGATGGGGGGGTGGGTCTGGGTGGGTCTGGGAGGGGGGGGCCCAGCTGAGCCGCGGGAAATGCTGCTGTGGGTCGTTTCCCTGCAGCGTCTCCCCGAGTGGGGTCCCAGGGGGGTCATGGCAGAGCCCCCCGCCTGGCTCAGCACGCCTTGGCACGGCTCAGTATTCCTTGGCATGGCTCAGCGCGGCTTGGCACAGCTCAGCGCAGTTTGGCACGCCTTGGCGTGGCTCAGCGTGCCTTGGCACAGCTCAGCATGGCTTGGCACGCCTTGGCATGGCTCAGCACAGCTTGGCATGCCGTGGCACAGCTCGGTATTGGCTCGGCACGGCTTGACACACCTTGGCATGCCTTAGCATGGCTTGGTACAGCTCAGCAGGCTTTGGCACAGCTCAGCATGGCTTGGCACACCGTGTCACAGCTTGGCACGGCTCAGCACAGCTCAGCATGCCTTGGCACGACTTGACACACCTTGGCATGCTTTGGCACGGCTTGGCATGGCTCAGCACACCTTGGCATGCCTTGGCACAGCTTGGCACACCATGGCACGGCTTGGCACAGCTCAGCATGCCTTGGCACAGCTCGGCACGGCTCGGAACACCTTGGCATGCCTTGGCACACCTTGGCACACCATGGCACGGCTTGGCACACCTCAGCATGCCTTGGCATGGCTCAGCACAGCTTGGCACGCCTTGGCACACCATGGCATGGCTTGGCACAGCTTGGCACGCCATGGCATGCCTTGGCACAGCTCAGCATGCCTTGGCACAGCTCGGCACGGCTTGGAACACCTTGCCATGCCTTGTCACACCTTGGCACAGCTTGGCACGCCTTGGTACAGCTTGGCACAGCTCGGCATGCCTTGGCACAGCTTGGCACGCCATGGCATGCCTTGGCACAGCTCAGCATGCCTTGGCACGGCTCGGCACGGCTTGGAACACCTTGGCATGCCTTGGCACACCTTGGCACAGCTTGGCACGCCTTGGTACAGCTTGGCACGGCTCGGCACAGCTTGGCACGCCTTGGCACGGCTCGGCCGGGGCCGGGTCCCCGCCGCCAGTAGCTGCTGCCCATCGGCACCCCCCGCAGCTCCCCCCGGCGAGGGTGGGGTGCTCTGACCCCCCCTCCCCGCTCCGCCCCCCCCCAGGCGATGGAGAGCAAGCTGCTCATCGGCGGCAGGACCATCGTGGACCACACCAACGAGCAGCAGAAGATGCTGGAGCTGAAGCGGCAGGAGATCGCGGAGCAGGTAACGGCGCGGGGGCCTGGCCCGCCGGGGGGGGTCCCGGGGGGGGTTGGGGGGGGGGTGTGGGGGGTCGGTTCCCCCTCCCAGCTCCGAGCGTTTCCCCCCTTTGCGCCGCAGAAACGCCGGGAGCGGGAGATGCAGCAGGAGATGCTGCTGCGGGACGAGGAGACCATGGAGCTGCGGGAGACCTACAGCTCCCTGCAGCAGGAGGTGGAGATCAAAACCAAGAAGCTGAAGAAGGTGAGCGCGTGGCGGGCGCAGACCACCATCCCCCCCCCCCCCTCCCCCCAACAACAACCCCTGGGGCTCCCCCACAGCCCCCCGAAGCCGCGGGGCTGAGGGGCTGCTCCTCTCCCCCAGCTCTACGCCAAGCTGCAGGCGGTCAAGGCCGAGATCCAGGACCAGCACGACGAGTACATCCGCGTGCGGCAGGACCTGGAGGAGGCGCAGAACGAGCAGACGCGGGAGCTGAAGCTCAAGTGGGTGATGGAGGCGGGGGGGGTGGGCAGAGCAGGGCAGAATTGGGGTGCTGAGGGCGGAGCTGGGGTATTAGAGCAGAGCTGGGGTGTGCAGAGCAGAGCTGGGGCGCACTGAGCAGGTCTGGGGGGCACAGAGCAGAGCTGGGGGGCACAGAGCAAATCTGGGGTGTGCAGAGCAGAGCTGGGGGGCACAGAACAGAGCTGGGGCATGCAGAGCAGAGCTGGGGGGCACAGAGCAAATCTGGGGCGTGCAGAGCAGAGCTGGGGGGCACAGAGCAGAGCTGGGGCGTGCAGAGCAGAGCTGGGGGGCACAGAGCAAATCTGGGGCGTGCAGAGCAGAGCTGGGGGGCACAGAGCAGAGCTGGGGTGTGCAGAGCAGAGCTGGGGCACACTGAGCAGGTCTGGGGTGCACAGAGCAGAGCTGGGGGGCACAGAGCAGAGCTGGGGGGCACAGAGCAAATCTGGGGTGTGCAGAGCAAAGCTGGGAGGCACAGAGCAAATCTGGGGTGTGCAGAGCAGAGCTGGGGGGCACAGCTGGAAGGAGCGATGCCCCTGCTGCCAGGGACAACTGAGCGCTCCCAACCCCATCAGCGGTGGCAGAAGGTGTAAAACGTACTGAAACCTCCTGAGCTGGGCCAGTTGTGCACAGGAGAGATAAAAAGCAGCTGCAAGAGTTGGGGGGGGGGAAGGTTGGCAGAGTGGGGGGGGAAGGTTGGCAGAGTTGGGGAGGAAGGTTGGCAGAGTTGGGGGGGAAGGTTGGCAGAGTGGGGGGGGAAGGTTGGCAGAGTTGGGGGGGAAGGTTGGCAGAGTGGGGGGGGAAGGTTGGCAGAGTTGGGGGGGAAGGTTGGCAGAGTGGGGGGGGAAGGTTGGCAGAGTTGGGGGGGAAGGTTGGCAGAGTTGGGGGGGAGATTGGCAGAGTTGGGGGGGGGAAGGTTGGCAGAGTTGGGGGGGGAAGGTTGGCAGAGTTGGGGGGAAGGTTGGCAGAGTTGGGGGGGGAAGGTTGGCAGAGTTGAGGGGGGAAGGTTGGCAGAGTTGGGGGGGAAGGTTGGCAGAGTTGGGGGGGAAGGTTGGCAGAGTTGAGGGGGAAGGTTGGCAGAGTTGGGGGGGGAAGGTTGGCAGAGTTGAGGGGGGAAGGTTGGCAGAGTTGGGGGGGAAGGTTGGCAGAGTTGGGGGGGGAAGGTTGGCAGAGTTGAGGGGGAAGGTTGGCAGAGTTGGGGGGGGAAGGTTGGCAGAGTGGAGCGGGGAAGGTTGGCAGAGTGGAGCGGGGAAGGTTGGCAGAGTTGGGGGGAAGGTTGGC